CGGCGCATTGTCTCCCGGCCGGTACCAACTCACCGTCCGGTTCGAGCCCGGTTCCCGATACGTCGGCGGCGCCGTTCCTCGTCACAGAACGAATAAGCGCGCAAAGATATATCGATAGCAAATTCATTACCTCCAAAAATCCAAAAAACGACTGGAAGAAGATCACAAAGGATTCGAGCGCCACAATCAAACCACCGTCTTCCAAAAATTTTAAAATTGGAACTTGGTGCTCCCAAACTTTGGTTCTCCGGGACTTTGTGATTGGCTCGTTGGATGGAAGAAGATGAAGCCAGACAGCAAACAGACAGAGAACGTCGATGCCCCTGCATTCTCATATTTCCTCGTACTTCTCAACTTTGCGATTGTATCAACGAAAAAGATGCCAAGACGACCACGCAAACAGGCACAGACCCTGCCTCGTCGTACTTGTCCACTTTGAGGGTATTTAGAAGCCTTCAACAACTACTTACGGAGATAGTAGCTAAGACGACGACTAGACTCAGGTTGGCTCACCGCTCCGCCAATTTCTCTATCTTCCCAAATTGAAATTTCTCCAGCTCCTCCATTATCGACGACTGATCATCGCGATCCCCAACCCGCGTAACCCACAACAACGCGCTCGCCGCTCACCCGACTTATTTTTTGATCGAAGTTCCTTCCATGATCGATGATCTTGCACCTGGTCTCCACGACAATGGGTCCTGTCGCGATGCCGAGCTGTTGAGCAGAACTGACCACGGCTCGGGGAATAATAAAGTGACCTTCATACGTCAATTCGCAAAGCAAAATGGGTTTAGAGCATTGTTTCTTATCAAGGCGGCCGAGTGAAAATTTTCTCGACCAGAGTGGCGGACAGTTTGTGATATTCCCGATGCGAAAATGCGAGACCCATAAATTGGACCGGGGCGGCCGGCTCGACATCTCTCGATAACAGGGAAAGACGAATCCGCCGTAAACAAAAGCAACATCACTACGCCCGAGTCCATATATGGAAATTCTTGTTCCTCCCACCCACAGATTTATTGCCGCTTGTAAGTTCTGGGAACGACGAGTCAAGCTGAATAATAGAGACTTATCGAGTCGTGGAAGAGGCAGCAGACGTGCGCAGGTGCGGGCAAAGGATGACATGCGGGAATGCAGAGTCGCCCGCTTGAAATTATTAGCTACTGAAATGCATTGATACTTCGCGCACAACCGCAATCGCTGAGTGAATACGAAATCGCATACTCAGCACCGGCGCCGCGACGCTTGGAGCGAGAGGTGCGTCGACACACATAATATATATTCACAGCGTCAGCATCTCGTCAAAACAAAGCGGCGGGAGACACGCGGCGGCGGGACCAGAGCATTTTGCCCGTGCTCCTGCCATGTCTTCTCGAATCTCATCCACTCGTACTTAAGTACCTGTACGGCGAGGGAGTATGATCGACTTACATCAGCACATGGCCCTAGCGCCGCTTTTTTTTTCACCTTCAATCCTGTTCACTACGAGGTAATCCGCCAGCGCGTCCAGTCTTTATTTTTAGGGATGACCAGACTCAATCCATTCACTTGCTTGCTCACTGCATTAATTTATTGGCCATCATTTATGTCAATCATGGATCAGTCCGTGATAAGATTGCGCTGAATGTCTGGTTTAGCTAAATTGACAGAAGATGGCTATCCGTTCGTAAAAGTGGGGAAGCTAGCTCTATTAATGTCGACGCCTTCTTTGCTTCGTCGGATGCGATGTCCAACCTCGACGTATGTGGGCCCAACTTTTGTGTCCGTCTTCTAACGCTCTGTAGCGTGGCATCGAGATCGTGCAAAAGGTCATCGAGGAGGATGCGAAGCCTACAAACAATACCAGAACGCCCTTGACTATTTTGTGCTTGCATTGAAATGTAAGTGGCATGTATACTCTTGCTGCTCGCTTTCCCATTGCCCTCAAGATAAGAGGAACGAGAAATCGCGTTCTCTAATTCGTACAAAAATTAGCGAGTATCTAGCGCGGGCAGAAACGCTCAAGGAACATCTGGCCGTCTCCTATGGTGCGCGCGGCGGTACAAAGAAGTGCGTCCTTGAATCGTGCGCTCGGTCTGCGCCGCACTTCCCCTTAGAGCCGGCCCCGAACTGGAGAAGCTACGGGGTGCTCTTTCTCAATCGATCTTATCCGAGAAGCCCAGCGTGAAGTGGGACGATGTTGCGGGCCTTGAAGAGGCCAAGGCCTCCCTGAAAGAAGGCATCATCCTACCAATCACGTCTCCCCATCTCTTTACCGGCAAGCGTACACCATGGAAGGGTGTTCTGCTGTATGGGCCTCCGGGCACCGGAAAGAGTTATTTGGCCAAAGCTGTCGCCGCCGAGGCCAAGAGCACGTTATTCAGCGTCAGTTGCAGTGTCGTCAGCCAGTGGCAAGGAGACTCTGAACGCTAATAGGCACCCATCCTTCGCTCCCTCTTTTACAATTTAAAATTCTTTCTGTACAGGCTTGTGAAACAGCTGTTTGAGCTCGCACACGAGTCCAAACCCTCAATCATCTTCATCGACGAGATTGACTTTCTTGCTGGATCACGGAGTGAAGCCGAGTTGGAAGGATCACGGAGAATCAAGACAGAGTTCCTCGTGCAGATGAATCGCGTAGGCCACGACGACACGGGTGTTTTCGTCCTCGGCGCGACGAACGTCCCATGGCAGCTCGATAACGCGATCAAGCAACGGTTTGAGAAGCGCATATACATCCCGCTACCTGGACCGGAGGCGCGGCGGCATATGTTCGAGCTGGAGGTTGGCGAGACTCCTTGCGAGATGGCCCCGAAGGACTATCGCATGCTGGCGGACCAGGCAGACGGCTACTCAGGCTCGGATATCTCGAGTGTCGTGCGCGACGCGCTGATGCAGCCCGTCCGGAAGGTCATTGCAGCAACGCATTTCAAGCATGTGGACGACGGAAAGAAGTGGACGCCGTGCTCCCCTGCGGACCCGGGGGCGGTGGAAAAGAGCTGGACAGAGATCGACCCAGACAAACTGCTGGAGCCGCCGCTTAAGAGTGGCGACTTTCTGAAGAGTTTGGCGACTGCACGGTCTACAGTGACGGAGTCAGATGTAAAACCACACGACGAATGGACGAACGAGAGCGGTGCATTCCCTCGCTATATCCCGCCTCCACAGATGCCGTTCCACATCGAGTTCCCCGATATTATGCGGGAGACGTTCGCGCGCGAGGTGGCAAAGGCGCGTAATGAGCGTGTGTCTCCCTCTTTCTCTCTCCTCTTCCCATGCTGATATTCGTTTGGCAGAACGCACAGCGGCGGAGAACGCCGCCGCAGCCGGTACGTGAACACCTTTCCCCCTCCTCTTCTTCTCCTCTTCCCCTTTCTCCCCTTTCCTCCTCGTCCTCTAACACACCACCCGTGTTCCAGCGAGAAGACAAATCGCCGCTCTCGAGAAGAAGATCGCCACACTCGAGGCGGAGATGACGCGCCGTACGTCCAACCCACTGGACGACACGACGACGGACGTGGATGCAGACGCGGCCAAGCCAGACGCGAACTCCGACGCAGCCAAGCCAGACGTGGACGCCGACGCAACCAAGCCGGACGCGAACGCCGACGCGGCCAAGCCAGACGCGAACGGCAGCACTAGTGATACGACTCCGATTAAGGCTCCAACCAAGTCCATTTTTAAACGCTTTAAACGGTAAAACCCGTTTTCCGTTTAGTTTAGGCCCTCTGGTAAATATTATATAAACTGTTTTTTACACAATTAAACAATTAATTTTTTCAGCCTTTGTGACCATTTATTATGGAGTTTTTCAAGCCCATCCAAATATGATGATCGATCTACAAGTAACAGCAGTATCAATGAGGGCACGGCGCCTGGCGTGCGTCTTCCGGCCGGTCCCAGGCCTCAGACTCACCGAGTCACCGTCCGGTTCAAGCCCGGTTCCCAATGTGGACGTCGGCGGCGCCGTTCCTCGTCACAGAACAAATAAGCGCGCAAGATAATCCATGCTTACCTCCGAAAACGATTGGAAGAAGATCGTAAAGGATTCGAACGCCACAATCAAAAAGGCACCGTCTTCCCAAAAAAATTAAAATTGGAACTTGGTGCTCCCAAACTTTGGTTCTCCGGGACTTTGTGATTGGCTCTATAATTACGAGTGGATGGAAGAAACAGAAGTCAGACGGCAAACAGATACAGACCCTGCCTCATCACACTTCCTCGTTCTTCTCGACTTTGGACCAACGAAAAAAGATTGCCGAGACAAGCCAACTGGAGTCTAGTACCAGTCGTCGTCTTAGCTACTCTCAGGTAGTTGCTGAAGGCTTGCTAAACACTCTCAGGGTCAGGGTCATCCCGAACTCTGCCTATTTTGCGTGGTCACCGCTTCGCCGATTTTTCTATCTTCCCGAATTGAATTTCTCCAGCGACGACTGTGATCATCATGATCCCCAACTCGCATAACTTAAACAACGTACTCGCCGCTCAGACGACTTTCTTTGATCAAAGTTCCTTCCTTCCATTATAATCCTTCCATGATCGACGATCTCCGCACCTGGTCTCCACGACAATGGGCCTGCCCTGTCACGATGCCGAGTTGCTGAGCAGAACTGATTACCCTTTTGCGGACTTGGGAAATAATAAAGTGACCTTGATACGTCGATTCGCGCGCAAAGCAGAATGGGTTTAGAGCATCGTTTGTATATTAAGGCAGCCGAGTGGATTTTTCTGTTCGACCAGAGTGATGGACAGCCTGTGAAATTCTCAGTGCGAGGGTCATGAATGAGGGCCGCTGAACAGCAGGTAAAGACGGACCCCCTGTAAACCGACGGCAACATCACTACGCCTAAGTGCATATATGGTAATTCTTGTTGTTGGATTTGGGCTGCATGGTGCAATCCGATGGTAAAGTACCAGCAATGGTGCATCAGGGGCGGAGGGAATCAGGTTGAAGGCGGGGGGGAGGCCAAGGTAAAGGTGCAAAACGAAGGTGGAAACTGAATGAAAGTGCAAAAATCTGATGAGAGTGGGATTCGAACCCACGCCCCGGAGGACCAGATTACCCACTACTGAGTAAATGTTGCTTCACACTGAAGCTGATCCTTAGTCTGGCGCCTTAGACCGCTCGGCCATCTCACCATGAGGAGTGACGAGTGTATTTTCAGCAAATCCGGGTTCAAGAGGACGGGAATCGCAGGCATTGGTGGTATAAGCAAGGCATATCATCGTCTTCGTTCGAAGCAAGGCAGTAATGCACGGCAGCTTGGGGCACCAGGAAATTAGCTGCTTCGTACATGTATCTCAAAGACGGGATAGCTACTTTTTCTCTCCCGTTAGCCCCATGACCCACCAAATGAGCGAATTGAATCTCGACCTACTTACCTTAGCTCAAAATAGATCCGTCATTGAACCAAACTCTCGGACGCCTCAAGCCTAAAATTGAGAATGACATGAGCAAGATATAGAAATGCGGTGGTTTACAGACCACCATGTCATAATTGATCCCTCTGGAGGGATCAAAATGTGGCGGTGACGCCGATCACTTCTTGCTGGCGTTCTCATCTGTACTCCGCGTCTCATCTGTCACCTCATGGCCCTTGCCCTTCCCTATATAGCAGATTCATTATGCGTTCTACCGTTGAAGATGAAAGACCTCGCTTGGTTCCACCGCGCAGCTCTCGACAATGGCTTTGTGAAGAAACGGCTGCTTCTCTCTTAGAACGCCACCTTCCCTGATGGGCTTCGATGCGACGTCCAAGGAACGGTGCTTCGTATGGCTACCGGAAGCGAGAAGAGGTTTGTTGGTAATAAATCGATCGTTGGAGTTTGTTCTTTCGCCTTGAGCGGATGAAAAATCTATGGTATGCTCTTGATTATTTCATAGAGCATGAAGCTATGGCCGCAACAAAAAAAACTGTTCCAAACAGCACAGTGATTATTACGCATCGATCCCCGGCCAGGACTGCTTCTTTTTGGTTATGTACAAACCATATGTGGCTAAATGGCCACATCAGCCTGACCGCCCCAAGTTGAACTCTCCCTGCGCAGTCACTGGTGGTACCTGCAAAGAAAATTGCCCCACGGCTGATCGAGCCATCACGTCAAGAGTTTTCCTCTGCTGCTCGCCCTTTGCCATTGCGCGGAACATGGACATGTCCTGTATGGCTCTTTTCGAGGTTCACCAACCCCTCGGCGGTTTACCGCCTGCGCGGTCTAGCAAGGCTCAGTCGAGCGTTGGGCATAGTTACGCCCGTTCATCGATGTTATGGGTTGGTTCGGGCCATAGGACCGGTGTCACTGTCGCGGCAGAATCGCAATGTACAATTCACATTTGATGTCGGTCTTGGGGAAGATAACTGCGTCAGACTATGTGACCCGATGAGCCCCGAAGAGCCCGATGTGAATTTGTGAAATCGCGGGAGGACTCGAGACATCGGTCTGCATTCGGTCAGATCGCGAACGCAGACTCAGCGTCTTACTTGGCCCTCTCCTTCGTTCTTGCATTCCTCCCCTTTGCCTCCCCTTCACTCCCTCAGTTTCCTTCGCTCTGCATTCCAATGCCGAAAAGAACTGTGGGTGGTTTCAGCTACATTCCTCATTCATGCAGGGACTGACGCGATCACTTCTCATGCAGGCCCAAGCTAACGCGACTTCGGTATGCCTGGTCTGGACATTTCTGAAGGCTGTATCGAGTCTGCCTGCAGGAGAGACCCCGGAAGACGCCAAAATTAGATACACGACGCTCCGACGAGATTGTGGGTTTTCCTCTTTTTGTCTCGATCATGTATTCACCCTTTTCCTTTCCTTTTTCCAAGATTGACTTGTGCTCGAGTGAAGATGAGGGCCCTCTACGTCCCCAGCCCAAAGCGAGCGGAGGCGGAGGCGAAGGCAAGAGCGTCGAGGTAATTATTCATGTTTCCACTTTTGGCGCGATTATCAGTGCTCAACTCTTGTTTCCAGATAGACCTCAGTTCGGACGACGACGCCACGAGACTCAAGCAAACAAAGAAGGCAGATGCAGAGAGCATCGTGGCGGAACTTGTTCGTTTTTCCTTTTGTTCTTGGTGTGAAATCGCGTTCAATTTTTGCTTTTCCAAGATTGATTTATGTTCGGACGACGACGAGAGCCCGCCGAAGAACGTGAAGATTCCAAACGAAGAAGTTTGTCTCGTCCCCTGGTGTGATATCGCACTGACTGTTTTCCCCCAAGATCGATATATCCAGTGGCAATGAACAACAAGTACGCTATTCGAAAGCGCGTCGAGGTGGAACCAAGAAGAAGAGTGTCGAGTCAAGTGTTCGTGTTTCAATTTTTGGCGCCATTATTTGGACTCACCTTGGTTCCAGATTGACCTCTTCTCTAGCGAAGATGAAGAAAGACAGATTTCTAGCAAGAAAGCGGTCGTTCGTGCTTACCCTTTTCTCTTGGATATTGTTTTCAATCTATTTTTTTTCAAGGTTGACCTGTCCTCGAACGGCAACGAAAATAATCACAAGGCGGCACAGGCAAAGTCCAAGTCTTCGGAGGGCTCAACAGCGAACAGAGTTGGTACACTCTGGGCGGAAACAGCGGCCAATCTCTTCTCCTGGCAGACTGATTCGCAACGGGCTGTCTCTACGGGTCTGTCGTTGGTGGATCAACTCTATCAAGTGCATGCAGCCGGCTCCTTGCATCAACATATTGTTCCATCCCCACCCCATTCGGCTGTCTTCAACCGACTCTCGGTAAACTCGCAGACCCTTTTACTCCGTGTCGTCCAAGGCAAATACACCGATGCCATCGAAGACGGGATTACGAACGGAATTCTTGCCGAGAGCGGCCACGGAGATAAAAGAACCCAAGGCAGACAAATCGTCTACGTGCGAGTCGGCAGATCGAAGAACGCGTCGCCTGAATGCGCACCGGCCGCCTGCATTCGTCGCTATATCGAATCATACCCAGCGGATCTGGTCTGGGGCATTGTCGAGTTCATCCAGCGGGGTGAGAGTGCGGAAGACGCGGAAGACCTTGTCCGCCAGATTCTCGTGAACGCCGGGCTAAATCCAGAGATAGCCGTTCCTCTTCTCCAAATCGTCCGGAATGTCCAGCCTTTGACACAAATTGACGGACCTCATTTGTACTTCGGCGTCTCAGACGTTCAGACCGCCCACGAGCGTTTGCAGCACGATCTAAACCAGAAGGGCACTCGGTTCTGCAACTTTGCGCACGCGAACAAGAAGTTTGTGAGCTTCAAGGCGTACGAAATGTCTGAATTCGTAGTCCCGTCGTCGACTGGCCTTCGCACGGACCGCAACGCGGGTCAAGTAGAAGTCCAAGTTATCCATACACTGAATGAGCTCGGGCTCAACCACGCCGTCGGCGGCTATATCCCATACTTTACAACAAATCCAGCATTTACGACACTAATTTCGGGATTATTGCCTTCCACTACTTCACTCTTTGGCATAATGCCGTGCCCAGTATCGACTTCCCTGATCACCGCTCATCTCCAAGACCAAAAGCGCTACCTGATCAACCACGTCGTCGGGAACAGCATCTCCCCGACCTCCTTTGCTCATCTCCTCCAGAACGGGCCTGGAGTCTTCCGGACAAATGAGCACTGTATCCCCGGCCTCCGGCTTATGGATGTAATCAGTCTTGAAGACCACCAATCGAAACGAGGGCAGGAAAAGATTGGCGGCATTTGGGACGCCAGTACTGGGCGCACGCTCAAAATATTTCGCCACCTCGTGACCGCCATTCATCCTGAAATACCGGTTGATGGGGATTTGACTGAGGACGCCATCTCTCAGTACCTCGGGCCTTCCCTCGATCTTTGGCCTGTCACTCCCAAGCCCTGGTTGTTCTGGAACCACTGTATGTGGACGAGCCGTACGTTGGTGGACATAGGGGTCATCGTTGTGACCACCTGGTCGGAAGTTGTGGATAGTGCAATGTCCGGCGGCTATTTCGCTCTCGTCTGGGCGGGAATCCCATCCGATGTACGCGCCCAAGTTTTCGATGGGGTAACACCCGACAACATTGAACAGTTTTTACCTTCCACTTCATCCCGAGAGTGGGCTCCACACCAATCTGATCATGATCAATACCTGAAAAACATCGGACAATTGCGTATCATCCAACATGGCCCCAATTCCACTGATTTACTCTTAACCGTGGCGAACCTCCATCCTGGAGCGGTCAAGCCCGATGCCGACAAGGCATACATCGCCTTCAATATCATCCTGTGCACGGAACTTATTTACCAGACAGCGCTTGCCGAGGTTGAAATCTTGCGACAGGAGGGGATGGTTCCATCAAGGACATCGGAGGACGAGGCATGGCGTTATTTTGAGACACTCAAGGCGCGCGTAGAAGGAAAGATCGGTGTATCCGGACTTGAAGAGAAGCTTGAGCAAGCAAAATCCGAGTACAGAACCCTCTCTTGGATCCACGGTCATTTGCGCCGGAGGGAGACAACCACCAAGCCCCGGAAGCCGCGCCGGCCTGACTTCACCATCCCGGGTGTAACACATACCGTGGGAAGGCCTGGAACGCCCGAACGTATCGCCCAATTTGATACCTTGAAAACACAATGGAGGAAAAGAACGCGCGGCGGCGTCAACAGGGACCCCTTCCACCTGATCCCTTACGAGTACAAAGACGACCCCTTCGGAGCCGACATGCGGCTTTGGTTTTTGACCATGAAGCAAAACCTCCGCATTTCCAACTCCGCCCGCACATCAGGCAGCACTCCTGAATCGCATGCTCGAGCGATGGAGAGCCGCGCCGCCCTCTCGCGTAACAAAGAGGCGCTCTCTCTTGGCGGGCACATGACTACAGCGCTCCTCCTCGAACGGAAACGTGCGAGGGAGGACATCCGACAGATGATCCTTACTTGTATCCAGCAACTGGGAGAATGGAGGACATGCACCGGGGGCGTGCAGCCAAAGACGGGGAGCTGCTTAGCCGAAGCATGGAGATGGGGAACGTGTCCCTTGTGTTCCGAAATCCTCGTCGCAAACTCGGAAAACTCGAAGCACGCGTGTGCCGAAGATGAAGAGGGTGAGCACGTTCGGGACAGCCGATTCCCTTCCCTCCAACCCCTCCATTACCTGCACGACGTCTTGAATGCCCCAGAGTTGGTGGAACTCTTAGG